TGTCCTTCCAGACTGATCAAATACAACAGACTGAAGTAGACCTAGAAAAGAGCAGGAAGTTCACAGAAATTCGAGAGTTAAAATCAGGTTAAGGCTATCTAGGTGACTAGGAAGGAGGTGCTGGTTATCCCAGTAAAACTCTTTACTCCGGTGACCTTTTATGCATTTCCTTGTCTTCCCTACCCAAATATATTGCCTATGCTACACTTTTCATTGGCCAATGGCACTGGATTTTATACTGGTTTCAAATCCAAACCAAGTGCAATACCTAAGCATAAATGCACTACTGCCCGTGTGTGTATTTGCAATTACTTCTGATTCCTCTTCATGGTTTAGGCAGACAACATGGTTACCTAAGGAGGGTAAGGAATGTTATAGTTAGCATCTTCTTACAAAACAGAGTACCAATATAAAGGAGAGATCTGCAGCAGCTTACTACAGATGGGAAGTGCCCTGTAAGCATTCAGTAATGTTTCCTAATATTTTACCCCTTTGTGCTTTAGACAGACAAAAAGTCCTGTGTTGAGAGTACACCTCAAAATGTGTAAGACACCTTTCTTCTCCTACTTATCACTTCTAATCAGACAGATGGATACACTGCTATGAAAAAATACAAAAAAAAACCCACCAAAAATAAAACAAGGACTGCATCATTTTTATTTATTTCTTTCATTCTCTGTTCAGGTAGCAAGAAATTTAATTCCAGTTGGATCAGTCTCTTGTGATATTTTTTTCTTTCATTTAATATATTTTTTAAATGCTCAGAGGCATTATGACAGAAAAGCACGTATTTTTTGTCCTGGTTTATACTCATCATCTTTACCATTACAACAAGACAAAAGCATTAAAGTAAAATTAATCATGTCAAAAGATTTTAGCAAAAAACAAGTGAGACCATGCATAAAGCATCGCTTTGTCTAGTGTGAAGTCACGCTCTGATTAAAAACATATAATGAAAGTGAAAGTAATACATCATTGCCTTAGCAGTAGGGTTTTTGGGAGAGCTATGCAATTCTGAACACACACAAAAAAAATCTTTATAGGCTTCATTTTTTGAAACTTGCATTGATTACAGAATAATTCTAACAAATAAAACATTATTTCGCATCTTTAAAGTTTAATTAATCTTAAACGTTGCAGATAAAGCAAACAACCAAAGGAGTCCCATGATTCCTGGCAGAGCTGTAGCTCATAATTAAAATAGAAGTAGTGGTGGCTGGTTCTGGCCAATGAGGCATAAGGTTGTGATATGGGGACCCCTGATTGTCCCGCACCCAGTAAGTAGTTACAAGGACAGTAAAACCTCATAGATAATGAAAAACCCTTCAGAGAGCAGAACTTCACTGTTTGTAAGGATTATCAAACACCCATCAACTTCAGTTTGTGTCACTGCCAGTAGCAACCAGGTGCTGTTACATGACATAGGCAGCACTTGGTTAAAAAATGAACTGGGGTTGTGTATGTGTAAGCAAGGCTGGAAAGAAATCACACAGTAAAGATCTGTTTGCTGTACTTGGCCATACAGTCTATAAAATCCTCTACTTTGCTCAAGCACGACTGTACAATAAGAAATGTTTCAAATTATACAGAAATGCGCACCTTATGAATCTCAGGTTAGGACTGTGACCCCATCAAACAAAATTAGGTGGCAGAAAACATTTGTGAAATGCCACTTGTTTTCTCTTTTTCTGTCTCTATCCTTTGTTGCCAACATAGAAAAAATAACTCCATGAGAAATACAAGACAGGAAATATACACAGTAATACTAGACTGTGAAAAATCTACCGATCCCTTGAGCCATAGCATTCTTGCCTATAGATGATGACATTAAAAAATGGGAAATGGGTGCATGCTTCCCCTCCTCTTCTGGATCTATGAACAAGGCAAGTTGTTTTCCTGATTCCTTTAGAATTACTCCCATTAGTACTGATGCGTTTGGTGCTTTGGGTAGCCAGGCAGAGAGAGGTGGGCAGTATCCCCTGCCAATAGATCTAGTCTCGTAGTGGGAACAAAATGAGATTGCTACTCTGCTGAGCTGTCATACTCAATAGCTTGTGTTGTTCCACCTGTAAACCGGAGTCTTCACAGCTCCGAATACAGAGCTATGGCTTACATGGAGGCAGCAGTTCCTGACGGCTGGCATTTTGCGCTCCCTGTGCATTGCACGAGGCAGGACACAGAACCCTAAGTAAAGGAATAGGTCCAACAGCCACTCCAAAGAGAAAAGAAAGAAGCAGCAAGCATCTGCCTGCACATTAGTTCACAGACCCCACTGAATAATTTCTGGGGCTCCTCTCAGTAGAGGGTGAGAAGAGACCACATCCCCACTTCAGTGGGTGCACCCAGGAGCGAGTTTGTCAGATTGTATCCCTACCTCCAAATGTCACCGGCATGGACTGCAGAAAACGAGTAATGCAGATGGAAGAGGAAATGTTTGCTACTACAGGAGGGAATGACATACACCTCAGATGATAATGGGATAGAAGCACCCTGAAGTACCAGATACAAGGACTGTTTTCATCAAAAAGTCACTGAGCAGGACATGGGTTTTTCTCTGTCCCTGCTCTCCAGGAGCAAGCTCCTCACTTACCCTAACGAGTAGGGGGTAAGCTGCAACCTCAGGACCAACAGTGCTGTTTGAACAAATGGAGGAAAAAAAAAAAAAAAAAGAGCAGAAATAACCTCCCCCTCCTTCACTGCTGATTGTAAGCTAGAATAGGATAAACAGATCAATTATTTTCCAAAACTGTTGATTGCAATAGAGCTAGCAGCAAAAGGATAGAAAGTGGACAAAAATATACTTCCTAAATTGCAAAAAGTACACCAAAACCAAAGATAGCACAACGTCCCTAAATTCCCACGTACCAGCTAAACATCACAGTATGTTTATACCATAAGTGCACTGCACTATTACCATGTTATACTGTAACTAGTTTGTAGTCTTTCCTAAAACAGCTGAATGATAGTTTTTAAAACCATTGAGTCCATGTACTCATATGCTATACCAGGGTCATTCAGTGTTTTACAAGTGGACAAGACAAAAGCTCTATTCCAACCTGTTCCCACTTCCTACTCTCTTTAATATTAAGTTGGAAAACAATGCAGAAGCATAAAACATTTGATTACTCGAAATGCTTGCTTTAATTTTTCAAAAATAATTATTTTTAATATTTGGCATGTAGTACTATTTTCTAGTGAACCATGCTTGCTATGGTTAAGTCTTATTCAGTGATAAAAGACAAGTGTTCTCTTCAGCATATCTAAAACACAAGCTCAAGTCAGCAGGATGGAAAGAGAATTTTTGTTTACTACCTGTTACAGTAAACCAGAAAAGCATTATTTTGATAAAAATTACATAAAATAGTTCACAAACATCTTTTTATACCACCATAAATGGCTGTGTTATTCAAATACTAGCTGTGAAGTCAAGTCAATATTTTTAACCAGAACATTTAGGTATCTTGCCTCCAGGTGCATTTTCCTACAGCTTTGAAGATAGCATCACACTGTAAGTAAGCAAGAACTGAATAAATTTCATTCTTACAAAATCTTACATATCTACAGGTATCTGAGATTCAGAATAAAGTTATTTAATGCAGTGGAGGGTTCAGATCTTGAAGCGAGGGTTGCATCTCTCTTGCGTATCAGGGTGAGCCATTGGATTAGACACAACAAATTCAAAAATACAGAATGTGTTGGTCCTACATAATATCATTTTTCACTGACCACTTTTAGAATTTTCTTTTACTTTCAGAGCTAAGTACCCTATTCCACGCTTCTAAAAAATGTGAGCTGTAGCATATCCCCTAGCATGGATGCTGTAGATGTCCCCAATATACACTTCATATTTCCCTTTATAATTTCCATTCTTAAATAATGCCTTCAATTATTAATCCAGGGCACCTAATCCTAAGCAAGTCTTTATGCTGCAGCATTTTGAGAACAGTTCCTAAACTGTTCATAGGATAAGGCAATTTGCAGAGGCATTGTTTCAATGCGTCATAGCAGTCTTTTTTTTTAATTCTATTTCATCCTAATCTGTGCGTATAATTTAAACATGAATGCATCCCATTAAAAGGTTTAGACAACAGATGAAAAACAGAATTCTGTAAAGTGTTATTTTATTTCAAAATAAGGATGTACATTAAGAAATCCAGGTTTTACCAGTTGTCCAGTTTTAGAAGTATGGCTTTGATTTATGGATCAAAATTGCTCATTTATTATTTTATCTATACTGCTTTGGGCAATTTTGACAGTTAAAATTTAGTTTTATTGACCAATGCAGCCAGTTTAGCCACAAGGGGACTAATGCACACACAGCCTGCTGCACTCAAGAAGCTATGATTTGATTCCATGACCAAGTTAGACTGGGAATCGCAACCAACATAACAATAAGTTCCAAAGTCCTCAATGCTCCGGGCAAAATACATGCTCTAAAACACAATCAACCTTCAAAAGAAGGTGGGAAGGAATTCTGTGATAGAAGCCACCATGCACTGTTGACTGCAGCTCACATATTCCACCGATGTTTCTGTCAGCGGTGGATGCAGAACAGTACAAAGGAAGCCTTTCTTTAATGACTGCAGACAACAGATAAAGCTGGAAGAAGGAAATGAAAATGCAGAAGAGAACTGAAGGTGTGCTCTAGTACTATGGCTCACCAGGGAACTGAGTGAGAAAACTGACTAAACATTGTCTTATTTTTTTCCTAAACTAGATTTTGTTCACATCTACATAAATATGCATGCATTCATGTCACAGGATGGAAGACTTACAAGTTTACTTAAAAAACTTACTGGAATGATTTTAAGCCAATGTTAATTTAGGCCTATCCTATTATAAAATTAGCATCTTCTGCAATCTCAATTTATTGCTCCATTGTGAAGCCCCTTGTGATACATAAACAAATCTCTGAAGAGAAACAAATCAATAAAGTGTCTAATTTGATTAACCATGTTTTTAAATCCATCAAGACAACTGTACAAAAATAAACCACTTACTTGTCAGTATTTTCCATGTCTTCTTTTCATCATCATAATACTGAACCAAATTGCTGGGTAGCCGGTCAGGTCCGGGAGGCAATCCTCCAACCAATAACAGCATTTTCTTATTGGAACGAATTCTTCACCCAAAACAAGAAGACAGATGAACAACCGCATTACTGAAGAGTATTTTTAGTGGCAACAAAATCATAACCATCAAAAGAATGTTCACTGCTTGCAGTTTTCCATTTCATTTTTTGTGTTTCTTTCCCCAATCATGTCTCAACAATTTTTTGAACCAAGCAGAAAAATGATCAGAAAAGCTGCATATCTCTCTACTCATGGAATAATAAGCTTCCTTTATGCAATTTGTTAGAGGTTCATTCTAGAACGACCTTTTTCTTATATTATCCCTTTAAATCATCACTCTTTACAGCTGAATACACATGAAATGCTCTGGAGTTGTACTAAGGTTAAGCATTAAAGTTGCATGTCAAAAATCGTATTAGTCAAAATCATTATTATAAGCCATTCTACACTCAAAGAACCTTGAAAAAATTAAGGTTATGCAGAGAGTTTGTGAGCCAACTCTTTAATCACACACTGAACTTCAGATATATAGTTTAGCACAATTAGCAGCACTGGGCTAACGGTTATGGGTTAAACACTACTTACAAGCATTTTTGTTTGTTTAATTTAGCCCAGGCTTTTGCTTTCCCTTTCCCCCAGCTCTCCCCCTTCTCCTTGCTCTCCCCCTGTGCACCACTGGCTATAGCAACACCAATTGGTAAAAATGAGACTGTGATGTTGTTGTGAGCCTCCCCAGAGTGGAGCCCTGCCAATGCTTGCCACTGATCCAGCGGCATGAACCTGCTCAACTGTGCAAAGTCACTCTAATTCCCTCCCTCTGTTTTTCTACCTTCTCCCCCAGGGGGCAACCACTGAAAGGAGTGACTACCCACCCATCAACTGCTGGCAATTCGCTGCTATTAACCGTGACCGTGATTCCCAATCTGCCTGGCAGTTCTTAAGAACAGGACTGCAATGTCTCATATGCAGTAAAAGCGGTTATCTGCACCCTGGCCTCCAACACTCTACCTGATGAATGTACGCTTTCTTCACAACATTAAGGGATTTAGCACAATTGGAAGCAAAAAGGGGAGGGAAGGCCCAGACCCCCGGATGAGTCTCGGTGCTTTAACAGTCACTTCACATACAATTGAACTTTCATCGGTAATACTAAGCTAGAGACTGATAACAATGAAACAAGGTCTATACTTAAACTGTTCCTGTTAAGGAGGAAGGTGAGGTAGCCTGGAATATCTGCACCAACGTGGACAAATGTGTAGGAGGACCATGCATTTAATGGAAAGCACCCTTACAAAACACCAACGTTTTCCCCATCAGAGCAATATCACTGCAGCAATCAATATGTTGGTCTGTAGTAAACTCTCCTGGCAAAGCAAGGTGGGGAATGCTGCTGACCGAAGCCCATCACCACAACCCTGCAAATGGTGCCCAGGTGCTTCAGGCCCTACGGAGCACTCCAAGACAGGATGCTTTGCCTCAAAGACATGCAAGTGGATTCCCTCTAGTTATGGCCTAAAACAAACGGAGGGGAAAGCCTGACCCCCATTGATGCCAGGAATGCAACCTCTCTTCAGGAGGCTGTGCAAAATGACTTGAGCTGTGCTTTAGATTGCACAGCCACCCAAAATAATAAAATCACTAAAGTTGGAAAAGACCACTGAGATCACATAGTCCAACCATCAATTCCACCATACCCCCAACCATGTCCCTCAGTGCCACAGCTGCACAGTGAGCACCTCCAGGGGCAGTGACTCCACCACCTCCCTGGACAGCCTGTGCCACTGCCTTGCCACTCTTTCTGAGAAGAAATTGTTTCTAATACCCAACCTGAACCTCCTCGTGTGCAACATAAGGCCATTCTCCCTCATCTTATCGCTGCTGCTTGGGAGAAGAGGCCAGCTCCCACCTCACCATAACCTCCTTTCAGGGTGTAGAGATACCTCCCCTGAACCTCCTCTTCTCCAGACTGAACAATCCCAGTTCCCTCTGTCTTGCTTCTCCTAAGACAGACACTTCAGACCCTCCAGCTTCACAGCCCTGAACTTCATTCAGGAAGGGAGCACAAAGATGAATACCTGATTCAGATGACACTTACAAATGAAACCCTTCAAATGGCTATAAAGAGGATGACTACAGATGTAGATTCATCTATCACAGTGATGGCCAGGGAATTCTCTGGCAGATGGCCTTGTTTGTTTTTCAAAGAATCGAGGGCTCGTGGAAGGTCTTGAATTACCAGCAGGAAAACAGTCACCCTCCTGGAGTGGGCAGGCATTGCACAGTGTGGGCAATGACACCTCGGCTGCCCCATACCACACCATGCTCCCAGCTCCAGACAGCCACCACAGCCTACAGGCTTTCTGAGCAGCCAGCCTTTGACCTTGGCACTAAACCTGTTATTTACTGTCAGATGATGACTGTTACCTGCCCACTAGACTATGTCTATCAGGAATCATCTCGTGATTGCTGTCAGCACAGACTCAACTCAGTGAGACCAAGCTCTGGGGAAAGCTTTCATAAACATTTGCCAGCGTCTTGAAACGTTCAATCTCCCAGTAAGGTTTTTAATGAGAGAACATTTGATAAAAACTATGCAATGCAGGAGCGTGATAAACTATTTTTGGTACGAGTTAGGGATGACTACACACGTAACAAGTGGCGGAGCAAACCAGAGCCATAAGTCAGTTATGCATGGCCATCCCTAACAATAGAGAATAAATTGTTTATTCCAACCCCCTCATGTTGTATGTTATATCACAATCAACTCCCTGTGTATTCTAAAATACAGAATGCCCTTGCAAGGTTTACTTGATAAAGGAGTTTATTTTGATTTTCATCTTTCATCTGTGAAACTCCCTTCTAACTCCAAAGCACTGTGAAAAACCAATGAATGGCCAAGGCTCAATAGTTAAGGTGAAGAATGAAATGTCAGATGTAACTCAGAGTTTCCAGACTTTGGCAGCTGCAACTATCCTTAACATTACTTTTCCAGCTAAACAATCTGAGAATTTGCTATATCCTGAGAAGAAGTGGCACTGTTACCTGGAAATTTCTAAAAACATCTGATTTTCTTACATACTTAACATGGGAAGCAGTATGAACAGCAACCTTTTGTTGAAGTTTAATACGTATTTAATAGCAAGCATAGTCTCCATCAAAGGCAAAGTGAATTCTCACTTGACTACCAAGAGATGGGTTACCTCACTCAAGAACATACAATATCTAACTAATCTGTCTTGAGAGCTTTTCTAGCGTGAAGATAATTCAGTGACTGAAGATATGTATGTTCTTAAAGAGATGTTTTCTCAGAGTCAATTTTGTTTACTTGAAACCAATTCTGCTCTATAAGTTTTGGTGTGAATCCCAACATTCAGAGTTTAAAAAAAAATGTTCTCAGCTCTATTATATTACATTAGATCTGTATTTGGTATCACACTGAGCAGCTCTGTTAAAATTTTCTCATACATCTCATCACATATACTAAAATATGAAACATCTGGAAATGATCACTGCATATATGTAGAAGCCTTTTCTAAATATTAAGAATGCAACTCATTGAAACACTAAGATGAATGAAAAATTTAAAAATACATGTAAGACAAAGATTCTCCTCTCCCTGCATTATTATGTATTTGTTATTTAGATAACTGAGTAATATCATGAGTAACACCTGGTATTCTGTCTGAAACATTCTCTTTACAGTTCTTATTTCACAGTGTAACATACTTCTCAGTCACATTCTGTGGTTCACAGTGTCCCTAGCAATGCTATTACAAGCATCTCGTGTTCAATAAACAGTAGCAGGCCTTGGTTAGGAAAGCTAAAATAATGCTTACCATGAACCAGCAGGCCAGTGTCACACAAAAAAACTGAGATAAAATTATTGATATCTTATCCCAAAAGCATTTCCGATACCTACAATGCAGAACTCTGGTTCTCACTGATACATATACATGTGTTGTTATTATTCTGCAAACACTTTGCAGTTTCTGTTCTACTAAGATTTTAAAACAATTCACCTTAATTAAGATTCTGGGTACTCTATATGGCCTGAAACTTATTTTGTGTCATTACAAGACTGTAAACCGAAGTATATTTTAAAGTCAACAGGTGTGGTTTCATTTAGGCACAGAAAGCCTAATGATTCTGAATTTGAGAACTCATAAATGGTTTCACCGTCAGAACTGTTGAATACCTATCACATACTTAAATGCTACTGACCTCCAAGGCTGCAGGAGATGTGCATCAGCTTTAAAATTCAGGGTGCTTATTCTACAGTCTAAACAAACTGTGAGTATACTGGGCAAAACACTGAGCCCAGAAGAGTTTATCACCTTATGAAGAATCAGCAGAAAAGACAGTGAGAGATCTCAATAACCCTTACAGCCACACCCACCCAAAGCTCCTTTGCAACCATGACAGCCTTATGTTAACAGAAAACACATTAATGGGAAATATTCTTCTTGTACTTTTTTTTTTTTTTTAATTAGCTTATCCATCAATCTTGCACTGCTGTGTTTTCCCCATCTTGACACTTAATAGAAGTTCATTCTACAAAGACAGGAAAGAAAATAAGCTCCATCAACAGGTTTGCTCCAGATTCCTTCAGTTTTTAAACAATGCAGTAAAGCTTCACTTTCTGCATTGGTGAATGCAGAGAGAATAGAACGCAAGAGAATAAAACAAAGAATGACAATCCTGTGTTTCTTCAGAAATTCTGTGTAGTGTTACATCAGAAAGAAAATTGCCTCTTGGACATAAAGGTGATAATAGCAATCAACAGAAAAATTTTAAAAAAAGGCTTTTCCAACTCCACTTTCAGATTAACTCAAGGCTACAATAGCACCAAAACCCTGGACCATTCATTCTCTTATAGTCACTGTCACTCCAACTTGAGTGTGGAAGGACTCAGATTGCTCTTCAGACCAGGAAACTTGTGGTACATGTGTGATGCCTCACTCCTGCTGACAAACAGGACTTGACAAGCAGCAGAGCTAAACTAAACCTCAGACATCTTCTCACTGAACTGAGGCTCAAACACAATAGGCAA